CCTCCTATGGTGAGGACTCACTCTTTATTGTACTATTGTGGTGTTTTATACTTGATTTATCAGTTAATCATATTATGTTGAGACTTTGTGTTTGGAAAGTTCCGTAGTAAAAAAGCACTTCTTCAAAAGAAGGGGCTTTATATCCGGATCGTGCTTCTATTACCTGCAGTATTAAATTAAATCAACATCGAAAAGATAATTCTTTAATTTCTTTTCTAGGACATCCAAACGCTTCTGTGGAAGAAACGTTGAGGTGTTTCTCTCTCAGACAGTAATTCAAACACACACACACACACACACACACACACACACACACACACACACACACACACACACAGACACACACACAGACACACACACACGCAGACATAAACACATTCCCTCTCTCTCTCTATCTCTCTCTCTCTCTCTCACACACACACACTCCTCTATCTCTCTCTCTCTCTCTCTCTCTCTCTCTCTCTCTCTCTCTCTCTCTCTCTCTCTCTCTCTCTCTCTCTCTTTGAAATTTTCTCTGTTTGTCCAATTGCTGTCTGACTGTATGTCTGTCTGTCCATCTGTCCGTCTGTCTGTGTGTCTGTGTGTCTGTCTGTCAGTCTGTCAGTATTCTCGTGTTCTCTCGTGCTTTCTCGTTTCCTCTCCCCCCTCTCTCTCCATCATTCTTTACTTTAGAAGAAAATAAGAAGACGAAATTTTGATTTACGTAAACGCCACAAAGAACAAAGTAAAGAAAATGCAAAGTCAAAACTTTGGCCATCAGAAAACAGACACATGCACAGAATAACGAGTAGGCCTAGACACTTATTAAATACTCTCTGCTATTACTGATAAACACAATATTAATTCACAAAAATACCAGCGACGCCATAATCTAGATTGCAGATCTGAGGTTTATTGTTAATTTAGTATTAATCCGCACAAACATAAACCCCCCCACACGTGTTTTAAACACAGAATTCAACACGTATAGATAGAAGAGGAACTCCCTCTTTGCGATCGCTTATTCGCTGTGAGGAATTGAAACTAAAACATGGCGGCCTGTTGAGGGCACCTTTGGCTGCGCCGCACAGCGAGGCTTCGCGTTGCTATGCACGCTGATGCTAGTGGTAGGGCTTGGAAGACACCTTACATCAGTATTTTAAAACTTTCTTCGAAGAGGAAATATATAGTGAAATAGTCTCGTACATTTTTATTGCCAACAATATGTCATAATTAGCAATGTTACAATGTTTTTATTTGTATTGTTGGTTTGTTGTTTTTTCATGATGGGATGGGATCTAGATCTAGATCTAGATAGATCTCTAGATCTAGATCTACTAAAGATCTTCACAATCACAATACACTTGATTATAACACTAATTATGAACATTAATTCTGTTGGCAAAATATCTAGATATAGTATTGATTAGTACTAGATCTACGATAAAGGGGACGCTGACAGTAACATGCTCACTACAATAATATTGTCATTAAAGTTAAGGCCATCTAAAGCAAGCAAAAAAGAACAATATAAGCCTTTTCTCCAATTTACTAGAAAGAGATAAATAAATTGAGCTTATATTGAAGAAATGTATTATTTCTCACTTTAAGAATTCATCTCTGTGTTTGCATCAGTAGTGTATACAACAACATGCTTTGTTTAAAGCACGTGCGAGTCTAACAAATACAAGAGATTGGAGAATGTGTCGGTTGCACTTAAAATACATAGGCCTATTGTACATGCTGCCAAAAACACAAAAATGCAGAAAAGGCCTCAAAATATTGCTTTACACATAAAGCCAATAATGCAAAACAAAGTAAACAAGAGTGGAACTGGCATGTTTTCTGAATATATGTTCAAAGTCATTTTCTGTGTGTTGGGAGTGTGATTTCTAATGTATGAATAATAGGCTCATTGAGATGTGAAAATGAAGAAACTTGTGTCTACAGTCACAACTGAAAGAGTTCCATGGTGAGTGATCACTGGTCAAGGATTTCAGAGCTGTGTGCCTTTTGAGAAAATTTTTATCCCCATACCCTGAATCACATGTCGAGGGGAGGGGATTGTCCCCATGTAACCCCCCCCCCCCCCCCACACACACACACACAGTAAACAAACACAAATTTTTGAACACGAATAAGAAAAAAATAGTGGTCTCTTGTTACGGATCAAATTGAAGTCCTGTTTCAATTCGATTAATTGATAAAAGTGCGTATCGCAATGCGTTGCGCCCTATAGGCCTATGCTATTTAATAAATACATTCGTCAGACCTGGAATCTTTAATGCCCGCACACAGTAAACAAACACGGATCAAATCGAAGTCCTGTTACAATTCAATTGATTGATAAAAGCGTGTATCGCAAGGCATAGGCTAACCCAGCACTATTAAGCTATTTTATAAATACATTCGTCAGATCTGGAATCTTTAATCTTTAATTTTTAATCCCCGCACACAGTAAACAAACACACATTCATGAACACGTATAAAAAAATAAGTGGTCTCTTGTTACGGATCAAATTGAAGTCTTGTTACAATTCAATAAATAATAATAGCGCGCATTGCAATGCATTGGCTAACTCAGCATTATACGCTATTTAATAAATACATTCGTCAGATTTGGAATCTTAAATTATAATCATAATTATATGTGCTCGCACGTGGGAAGTGAAAGTGAAAGGAATTGAAAATGCTTTCAAAAACAATTATGAAAGTAACATAATTAAAGTAGGACTACATGTGCTTATAAAGTAGTGCTGGGCGGATGAGTTCCCGTTGAAAGCTAGAAATCGTCGGAATCGACTCTGAACCCAATTACTTATTTCCAAAGATAGTGAATAACAAGATGGGCCACTCAGCCAAAAAAGTGTCCGCAGGAAGTATGCTCTTTGCTTCAGATGGCGCTGCAGTCTGTTTTGAAGCTCTCTTTCGTTTTTCCAGAAGAAGAATAGGAATAGCACCTCCTTGCGTGCGCAGATCGACTGCTGTTCATCAGCAGTTCGGGTACGTTCAGTGCGGAGTTTTAGTTTTTTTCAATATTTTAATGACCTCTCGCCTTTCATTCTAAAGTCAAATTAAACGAAGAAAACCATCACCCTTTCCTCCGGAAGAGGTTTTTTGTCAGCGTAACCATTTTAAAAAAGCGTTCTTCCAAAATTTATCCCAAAACTTGCTAGTTTCACTTTGATTTTTTAAAAACTCAAGTAGGGTAACTCTGTTCGCAAAGAGTGTGCTTTTGTGAAGAGGGCGCCACCAAATTTTGAGGACACTTTTTTAATTGGCTCAAAGAGAGAAGTGGCCCATCTTGTTATGTACTATCATTGTTATTTCCTAATGATGTGATTTTTTCCCCGGTGGTTACCTGGTTGGCTCCGAACGTCTTCAGGATTTAGGTTAACCTTGATTTCGGAACACTACGAAGCATCAACTTTTATTTTTCAAAAATAGATTCTTTAAAAAAAGAAATTTTCAATGATAAAACCGCTGGTTTACGTAAAAGGGAGAAGGAACTTTACATCCGTAGTATTAATCGTGGGAATCGGTTCCGGAATCGACTCTTCGCCCAGCTCTATTATTTATAAAGACCCAAAAAGGTGTATGGATGCGGAAATGAATGTTTCGGATGAAAATAATACGCTCTCTCTACTACAGTAGCATGCGGTCAAAAATTTGATGCGCAACTTATTATCAAATATCTAGGCTACTGAACTATCGAACACCTAGATCTAGATCTAGATTCTCCTACTTTTACACAATGACTTAGATCTATATCAATTCGTCTTAACCGATGAGTATTTTTTTCAAATATTTGTACACATCTATAGGTTCTATATTATTCTAGAAATTTCTTTAAAGAAAATTCTTTAATAAATACTAGCCCAATATTTAAAAAATATCCCAGTCAATGGTTTCTACAGATTTAAAAAAAATTTATAGCTGGAGCTAAATCTCTTTCAAAAGCAAGTCCGTCCCTTTTTCTACTTCTGCTGGCGACATAAAGCTAATTATTGAACGCATGTTTTGAGAACATTAATTAGATCTAGTGAAAAAATATGTTCAGTGTAAAACAAATTTCTTGTAACAAGTTTTGCTACTAAAAAATTACGTAGGCCATATGCGTATGCAAAATGTGTATGGGAAGCTAGAAGTGCTGTGAACAATCCCATCCATGTTACGATTTTTTTCACAGTTCTGTAGATCTTATATTTATAAACTCTCTAGATCTATGTCTGCTTTTTCTGTTGTTGCACCCAAAAACACAACAATTTAAAACCTTAATTCCAATCTCAAGTTGCACAGTGAATTCTGTAACTCAAAATTACAAACTGGACAGTAAATGTTCCACTTTTCACTCGTTTGTAAAAGCCGCTCTTGCTTTAAAAGCTATAGGGTTACTTCCGAAAACGATAAATCGTGCCCTCAAGACGCCATTGTTTTCGGTCTTCAATTCCTCACAGGTCACGTGGTACAGTTCCCGTTCTATAAGTGTAGAATTCTGTGGTTTTAAATGACTTTTCTGAGAAATTACGTTACCTCATCGATAAAGCAGAACCCCCCCCTCCACCCCCAAAAAGCCTTTCCCCACCAACACGTAGAATGTAGAATATCTTTTTCTACACGACGGTGAATTAATAAGAAAAAAGGAAGCTTTTTTTTAAAGTCTTTATCAAGATAAGACAAGCAGTTATGTCTGCTACCAAGAAGAAAGAAATTGGTCTTTATTCATAATCAGGAGGACAGTGATGATTTAAAACCGAGAATTCATGACATTATTGTATGGAACAAAAATAGTTATCCGGCTCTCGCTCGGTATTCTATCTGTTATCCGGCCCACTTTCTGAAAGGAAGTGGTTCTTCTCACCAGGGGTGAGAATAGCCTGTGGCACTATGTCTCGCTTCCCCCCCCCCTCCTTCAGGTCTGCTAACATACAGTAGGCCTATATATTATACCAGTCTATAGCACAGACACACACAGAACAGCACAGTGAATAACTTTAAAGTTGTAGAGATAAGTTTCAGGTTTAGTTTATTTTATGGGTTGGGTGAAGGCCATTGAATTCACTCCATGAACAGAAGACAACTGTGAAAAAAACAACAACCAACACACATATTTAAAAAACCCCAAAGGATCTAGATCTAGATCTAGATTTTAGATCTAGACTAGAAATCTAGTCTAGATATAGATCTATTGTTATGCAAGGACGAAATGTCAAGAGCAGAACACAGCTGATACCTACGGATACTCTCAATTATAGATCTAGATCTAGATTTAGCCTCATTTTAAGAACATTAAAGCTCACCTTATGCTCACATCGGGGTGGGGGTGTGAATAGCGGGTCATGAGCTACCTTGTGAGAATATAGGTGGCCTTTCTGAAAAGTTTGATGACCCCTGCCTGATCCAGACGTTTGCCTTTAGTGCCGAGGCACAAGGTTTGAAGACAGCCCTTGCGGCCTGATCATGGATCAGCTAGTTTCTTTTTTTTGGTCAGGGTTTTCATATCTATTCCTATTCCCGGGGTAAAAGAGAATTTACCTGCTCATCTTCTCGGATAAAAACGACAATCCTTAAGGCAGTGGTCTCAAGAGAACGCTGTGTTCTTTTAAACACAACAGCAACTGAAAGTCGAGCAAGATAAGGCCTTCAGAGCTCAGCCGCATGTAAGAACTTAGAAATCATACAACGATGTCCACTAAAAGACCATAATACTCTCTCTAGTCAGAATAAAAACACGTTTGAAATGACAAGATCACTGCTTCCTTGACGGGACACTGGTTGGTGTACTTTTGTTCCGGACCCCCCTCCCCCCATCCCGCAAAGCAAATTAAAGCAAGGCAAAAAACAAACAACCCACCCTCCTAAAAAAAAAACAACAAAAAAAAACAAACAACAACCAAATACACATGAGCTACAGTGAACACGCTATATCTTGTACGGGAAAAATAAAAATAAAAATAAACAACAACAACAACCCAAAAAAACCCCAAACAAAAGAAAGAAACTAAACAAAACAGCATGTTACAGTCTGTTCCTTTTTGTTCTGGTATAATTTATTTCCTGTTTGTAATCAAACTGGATGGTGCGTTGATTATTTATTTCACTGCTTATACCATGTACGCCTGCGAATATATTCATTACTCACAGAGTGCCTCTAGCTGAATTTTTAGTAATTAGCTGAGAGGAGCTGTTTTATAAGTTTTCCCTCTCCTATATTTTCAGAATCTGTGATTTGCGACAAAAAGTCAGCTGCTTCTGCTGTAGCTAGGCCTAATAAGAATAACCGCAACTACCACCAATAAACCACTACAACTAGCATCGCCCCTATCATCTCTAGAATATCACCACTACACTACTGCTGCTACTACTACTACCGCCACCACAACAACCTTGTCTACTTTGTGAACTATTACCGCTATTACTACTACTACCACTGACGATGCTTTTACTCCAAAACTCCTCAATCCTTTTTAAGGTATCAAAATACGATCAGAATCTGGATGGTCGGGCCTTATTAAAAAAACAACCTTTTTAGTATTTTTGCCTATAAACAACATTTTGGGTCATGATAGGTTTCTGCTGTTTCTTTGCCTTACAGGTCAACCCTTTAAAAGGAAACCTAACGTTTTAATATTATTACATATCGGTGGTCACCTTCACTTTAATAACTTTAACGTTTTCACGAGAGCAATTTTGTCTCGCCCATTCCGAACCTTCCATTTAATAAATAGCGGTTGGTATCAGGTAAAACAAATATCGTTTGCAATAGATTATGCTGTGACCATAACATTAAGTTATGGTGTAATAGTGTTTAGTATAGTTGGTATACATGTAGTGTGAAAAGATGTGATGGGATATGTCATGGTGGTAACACCATGATTACACGGCATATATGTCACGGCTATTTATTTAAAAAACAACAATCTCACACATACGCACAATAAAACAAGAAGTCATCCAGGATGCCAACTGCGTTCGCTCGCTCTGCTATTCAGCGTGATACCAACTGAGCAAAAAGCTCACCAAATCAGGTGAAGCTTAGCCGTGATGAAGTTATCCCGAGCAGCCACATCCCTTAGGCCGACACTTCCCCAAGATAGTAAAAAGCTAAACTGAAGTTTGGTCAGAACTATTACCTTTGAAAAAAAACCCCATGTATATCCCCAAAACAGTTTGCTTTAGCCTGGCCATTAGTGATGTTTAGATGGTACCTGATAATTCAAGCATTTGTTGTGGTTCTTAAATGTAAACTAAACTGAAAAATGTTAGCTATTGAAAAAATGTATAAGGTGTTTAACTAGCTTGATGCCCGATTGTATAATAGATAAATCAGTCATTTCAAGGTAAGCTTCTGTAGAAACTCATGCCTTTGAAAAGTTAATAGCTAAGATAGATTAATGAAAATCGCTTTCGCCAAACAGATTTCACTCTTGTTAAAGCGTCCATTACTCCGGGTAACACCAGGTTGGCTTCTGTGGTATTCTGTATGCTCTCAAGCCTAGGACGCAAAGAACAGGGCTTCTTTTCCTACGTGGAAGAAACATTTATCAGTCACTTCCATCTTTCTGCTGAGAAGAATACCCTACAGGCTGAATTGGTTGACAGCGAATAGTAGTTCAAAGTACATGTATTAAGCTCCAAAATGATCTTATTTGAGTTGATATGGGTGTAAAACGTAAAACATTTTCTACAAATTATCGCAATGTATAACATGATAACCGATCTACATGTAAACAAAGTACTCTGTCTATCTCTGTCTATCATCATGACTCACACATGTTTGAATACCATCACAATGGGTAAAAGAATTGAACAATCATAAGTAAAATAAAACAACCAGTGACGTTAATTATAAGGATCTCATCAGAGTATTCCAAGTTGAAAATAGATTATACATTTTTTTTAGACTTTAAAATCAAAATCAAATGCAATGAACACAATTTATAAATAGCATCAGCAAAGTATTACATAAAGGCCAAATCAAAATTCACATGTCTTCTTCCATTTGGAGGAAAAGGGGAATAGAGAGAAGTTAAACATTGAGAGGAGCAATGATCAATTGAAATAATTGAATTGATTTTTAAGGAAATGTTTACATTAATAAAAGAATGAATTGTGAAAAAGAAACAAACAAAAGAACAACGACAGAGCAAACAACGAAGCAAAACAGAAACCAACGACAATTCCTCTTCTTAGACTTGTACCATACAATCTTAGACCAAACTCTCCTTTTAGTTTAGTTTTAGTAGAGTTTTTACGGCTCTCACAACTGCATAAGGTCATATGACGGTCAACCAAACTCTCCGTATTCCCGATATCAAGCTATGGGGCTCGTCATTTAAACCACTATTTTTTTACGACGGACAAGAGAAAAAGGTTCTTCATGCATTCGGTTATCTTCTTCTTCTTCTTCTTCTTCTTCTTCTTCTTCTTCTTCTTCTTCTTCTTCTTGAAGAGAGGCGGCCATTAAAGTGCGCAATCTAAGATCTTAGTAGTACAAGTCTACTTTTCACATACATTTCAATAGACCTAGAAATCTTGACAATAGCATAAAAAGTAAATAGGAGGTTTTGAAAAATTTTGCTGTTAAATTATTTAAAACATATAAATAAAGCATCAACAGCAATCAAAAAACAAATGCAAAACTGCATTTAAAAACAAATGTATCAATTCCACAAGGGCATCAGTAAACCTCTACTTTAAAAGATCAGAGAGTAAAACCCAATTACATAAATACCTCAAAATTTTTAAAAAAATGATATGATTTTAACTTCTGCATATGAATATAATGATATCTGATCTTCGAAAAATAAGAGTTAACTTGGTGACGGAAGAATGTTTTTTTGGGGGTTTGTTTTGACATTATTTATTTTCTAAAAGTAATGGTACTGCATACCCATCCTAGAAAAAGTAATAATATTACGTTGTAAAGATAGTGCTGTGTCTCCTCTTTCCCACCAAAGGAGATGGTGGCAGGCTCTCTGAAGATGTGCATTTTGTTGCTTTCCCTAACCAAAAAATGGATACATGTACTATGTAGATATTTTGAAAAGTCTGTGCGACTAGATCTATGAGTTTCAGAAAGAAAACAAAATGGAGGATGACACTCTTCTTGACTGTCTGCGGCTCTCACTCCGAGCAAGGGTTTTGTCGTCTCCTTCAAGTCCGCTATCTGGCTGGTCTGGAGGTAGAAAATGAGATAGAAATACATTATCTAAAAATGTATGATGGTTGGGAGAAACACAATATAAAATGTATTACTTCTCTGAAGCATTGCCATTTCTATGTATTTAAAAAATCTAGAGATGGAGTGTAATTTAAAGATCGCGGGTTTTTTCTTCGTTACATAATATAGTAATAAGACTGTTGTTGGGCATTTATAATGCTTGCTCCCTTTTCAAAGGCCATACAGTTCAGCAAACTAATAAACCCTTACGGAAAAAAGACTTTACAGAAGTACTGTTAAGAAAAATGAGACTAATTAGTGCACTACTGTTTGTTTCAGACACTTCTTCAAGGATAGAACAGAAACGTTGGCTCTACCCAGTGAAAGCTGATTTCAAGAACCATATAGGCTGGCACGCAAGGACAACGGAATACTTTTTTTAACCCAGCTCATTGGTGTACTCTACAAATAAGGACTCTAAGTCGATACCTTCATACCAAAGCAACCTTGAAAGTCAAAGATTGTCATCAAATGGATGTCTTGTCTTAAAAAAAACCCTCTGTTTAGTACTTGGGGTAGCATTTGAGAGTAAACGAGTATTCCAAAAAATCAACAGGACACCATCACAAATAGTGCAGTTCCCATTACCATCAAATAAACACCAAGCAAAATGAAAAGTAAAGGATATCAATATGAAAACCTCATAGTAACCAAATGTCAAAAGGTGAATAATTAATGATGCATGAAACAGTCGCTTGTCTACAACCAACGACACTAGAATTAATTCAAAGTTCAACTTCAAGAACAATAAAACGACTTGCACAGTATTATGCTTGTTACAACACTAATAATGATATCCTCCCTAATCAATAAAAACGTCACGTAAAGAACGAAAAAAAGGAAACGCCAAAAATGAATAATTTTAAAGGTACGTAATGGTATAAAAGATATTGGGAAATGAAAACTATAAATGGGCTTAAACAAAAAGATGAATTGAACGTTATACGGTAAACAATAGTTAGATAAACGAAAAACGAGTTATGAATAGCTAACTTTATCAGTTTCCCCCGTGGATGTACTCATCATAATCATCATCATCATCAAGCGTCAGACCTGAAACAAACATCGGCGATCATGGTTCTCAATTCATCCCTTTCCTCAGGAGCTCTCAAAAAGCTATATTAATATTATCCTAATTGGTCTTTACCGTCACCCATCTGCTTAGGCTCTCCGAGTAGGTTGCCTTCAATTTTACCACTGAGAGATGCATTTTTAAAGCCCTTGTAACTATCTAAGTGATCCAGAGACTGAATTTGTCTTTTTCTGATAGTTTTTATCAGTGAGCGGCCCATGTGGGCTTCTTCAAGTACCACATGTACCTCATTTGATTTCTTTTCCTTCCAAAATATTCTCAACAACTTCCTAAGAAACCACAATTTTGTTGCTATTATATTATTATTTTCACTGTCTTTAGTGGCTGTCCAGAATTCCCAGCCGTAAAGAAGGGTTAACTATTCATAGAATTTCGAAACTTTCATTCTGGTTGTCATTAATTAAGACTTCTCCAGATTGGGCTCAGTTAATCGAAATTTAGTCAATGCAATTCTTTATTTCATTTTTGAAGAACATTTGGCATCACACGCAATCATATATCCCAGATATTAAATCTGTTGAACGTGTTTGACCTTTTCGCCGTTGATGTACTATGGAATCAAAATCGACGTCGACGTGCAATTACCTGGGAGTGAAGTTTTCTATACTGTGAACGTGGAATCAATTGTTATCATAATGTTATTATGATGTCTTTTCAGACAAGATAAGGTTTGAAAACAGCTCTGGTATTTCCATTGTGTGAATTTTGTACATTTGGATGCTGCATCTTTTGGCAATTTTTTTTCCTCGTTTCACCATTATCAAATTTAAGTACCCACGTTCCTTCATTGTCTAAACCCCCACCCCCACCCC